CAAAAATGGGAAAAGTTGGGAGCTCTTTTAAAATTAAAGTCAAAAGGAATGCAGTAAAACCGCGCCCTTCAAAAATTCAGGGAAAAGTCAACCATGTTTTTGGGGAAAGGGAAATTGGGGTTTGATTCAGGGGGTTTGGGATGAATTTGGGGAAACAGTGCCCGGGTGTTTTTTGATTTGATTAGATGTTGAAAAAAATTGATGAGCCCCCGGGGCCTCCGGTTACAGCCCTAGGATACGCCCTTTTTTTTTTGGCTTGGGACTGTTCGGGGTTTTTAGTGGGATTTTGTGCAGGTGATCCCCCCCATTGAGTGAGCCCCCCTTGAATTTTTGAGTTTTAAACAAGTCTCCTGTGTGCAAGCCTGACCTAAATGGGTTAACTTAAAGGCATAAAAAGAAACGGGCGTTTTCAAAGAAAACTTGCAAAATTGAAAAAAAACCCAATTTTCCATCACGAAAAGACAAAGGCATGGGGCAATAGGCTTTAGAAAATTCAGGAAAAATTAAAAAAAAAAAAATGAAAACCCAATTATTTTAGACTGCCTAGCCCCTGGGAACCCAGGTTCTTTCTTTTTCCATTGTTTTAACCCATGGAAAAAAACTTTGGCACTTGCATTTTAGCACATAATGCACCATTTTGCCCAAAAATTGTTCCCAATTTTAAAAATGTTTGGGGCATTCTCAGTTTTTTTTCTTTTTTGAAATTGGTAAAACAACAAAAAAGTGGAAAAACGAAAACCCAAAAATTCTAGCCCCCTTTCAGAAAAAACCCCAAAAATGGATAGAAAAAAATTATTGGCCCCTTTAAAAATTTTTAAAAAATAATTGCTTTCCCAAAGTTTGTGATGCCCTTTTAAATTTTTGGAAAATTAAATTCCCCCTGTAAAAATTTAAAACCAAATATTAATTTTCCCTTTGGGGTTTCCACTTTTGGTGAAAAATTGTCACAAATTTTAAACAACCCGGAAATTGTAGAAATCCCCCGGTTGGGGAAACGAAAGAGAAAAACTTGATCAAAGATTGCAAACGAAAGATTTTTTTGAATGGTAGCTAAAAAGTTTGATCAACTTCCAAAAAAATTAAAGCTGACCTTCAGGCAAGGGTACCCCTTTTCCCAAACCCCCGCTATATTTTGGCATCTAAATGAAAAGGGACGCTATGGTAGGGACCCAGGAGGACCCCAACTGTGAAAAACCCGAAAAAAAAAAAAGAAAAAGGGATTTTAGCCAAAAGTCACCTAAGGAACCCAAAATCCTTTTGGGAGAATAAAGTTTGTGTGAACAGTTCAAAAAAAAAATTAAAAGATATTTTAAAAGCCCAAATCATTCTACTGTTTTCAAAAAAATAAATTAGGTCTTTAAAAAAAAAGAAAAAGGGCCTTCAGCCCAAACCCGGGTTTGGAGTTCAATGATTTTTTTGGGTTGTTTTGTTTGCTTCGGGCCCATGTGGAAAGGTTTTATGAAATCTGAAGACTCCCCCGAATTTAGGGCGCAAGTAGGGCCCAATGTCGGGAAATTTGGGTTTTCCCCGTCGGGAGGCCCAGGGGTTCCCAAAGACAATGCCCCAAAGGGCACATGTCAAAAAGCACCCAAAAAGGGTTTTCCGGGACAAAGCGCTGGAGAGTATAAGGCCCAGAATGATTCCAGATCTCAACCCCCTAGAGCCCCTGGGGAGAGATTTCAAAACACCCTTTTGGAAAAGGACCCCCCAACTGAGAGCCCGGGAGCATTTTGGCAAAGAAGAGGGGCCCCAAAATTTCCCCGGTAGAGGAGGTGTAAAAAAACTAATTGAGGGTTTTAAAGGAATCGTTTGATTTCAGTTTTTTTTTTCCAAAGGGGGGTGCCCCCACAAAAAAAATTTTTAAAAAAAAAATTGGGGATGGGGGGGGGCCAAAAAATTTTGGGGCCCTGTTTTTTTTTTGGGGGATTTGCAGGGAAAAGTGTCAGTTTTGGGGCCTTTTTTTCTCCATTTTTTGTGTCTACAAATACAAACAAAAGAAAAAACCCATAAAAAAGCCTAAACTTTTTAAAATTTGCAAAAATTTTTGGGGCAAATTTGTGCATTACGGGAACAGGGGTGCCAAAAATTTTGGGGCCATGATGATAGCTGTTTGGTGACCTCAGCCTGGGATAAAAATTTAGAGGGCCCAAAGTGTTTGCTGAGGTCTGCGGGAACACACCTAAACACTCAGGAACAAAAAGGCATATTTTTCTAAAATTCTTTTTTTGTTCATGCCAAGATCATGATGTGATGCTCAACCCCAGTTCCCCCAAATGTTTTCCAAATAGAAGCCCCCAAAAAGCCCTAAAAGAAGACCAAAGATCAGAGTTGGAAGGGGAAAAAACCCTTTTTTTTTTTTACTAAGCCTGGTATATTTTCATTATTCGCCCATATGCTATTTTCTTGCCATGCCCTTAACCCTCCTATCTTTATGGTTGGCATATTTACCCTAAGTAAAATGGCCGGGATTTCTAAAAAGGTCCCAAAGCTCCGGGTTTCACAAAGGGAAAATTTTAAAAAAATCTAGTTTGGGGACCCTTTAAAAAGTCTTTTCCATAGTGAAATTGATCATGTGTTCCCTAACTGCCCCAATCAAGTTACAGACTGAAAGTGGGCACTTTTTTTGGGGATGAAAGCTTTTTAAAATGGCACCAAAAGCAAAAAATTTTTTATTTCCCGCTTCCCAAATTTTTTTAATGTGGGGGACTGTATTCGTTTTCTTTTTTTGGCATTCTTTTTCCCCCCAAAGGGGGAAAAAAAAGTTTGTGTAATTTTCTTTAGTTGGGGTTTGACTTCAAAGTGTTATAGTATTAAATCTTCTAGTACATCAAAAAACTTCCCTCCCCCCCCGAAGTCTATGTGCTGTCCAAAAAGGGGGCCCCCTTTTCTCCCTTTTATCCCGGTGGGGGGGATCCAAAACAGGAGGGGTAATTAAAGACCCGATACCAGGGGGAAAACCCGAGGGAAAAAAACTAAAAAAAAAAAAAACGAATGCGGCCCCCAAATTGATGATTTTTTGCTGAAAAATATTTCATTTTTTTGGGTTTTTGGGGTTTTAAAAAAAGCATGGGGAAAATTTTTGTAGAAAACTTTCAGGTGGGGCCATAGAAAAGAAAAAGTGACAGGACCACAATTTGGGCTCAAACATTTGGCAACCCGCCCTGAATGTTACAAAACATTTCACAGCAAGATGAGAGCCCGTCCGTTTTAAACAGTGGATGGTAGATAGCAATACACCTTTTTTTCTATTTTTTTAAAGGGAAACCCATAGTTTTTGTGGTTTTTGGTTAAGACTGTATTTGAATGGCTCCTTCATAACAAAAAAAAAGTAGCGGGAAAATTAGTAACATTAATTGGGTTGTGTCCCCTTTCATGTATTGTTTAAAACTATCAGGAAACAGAAGACATCCATGGGGCCCCCCGGGCCAAAAAGGGGGTCAGGGGCCCCCGTGTCCTTTCCCAAAATCAAAAAAAAAACCCAAGAAAAGGACCAGGGGGGATTTTTATGGGGCCCCCCAAATAACCCCGGGTCTTGGGGATGCCCGAGTTTCCAAAAAGGTCAGTCCCCCCCTGAAAATATATATGTACAAAAAGTCAGGGAAATTTTACAATTTCATATTTCCCTTTCCCCCCCTTTTTTCGCTTAGTTTACTACCAGTGCAACTCAATGGGTCAAGCTTTATTTGATTAAAAACAAAGGGCCTCTGTAAGGCCCCTTTACATAGGGGGCGAGGTGTATAACGGACCACATATTCCATGGTACACCCGCGCTCCACAGAGGAGCATAGAGGTTCCGATCGGGTTCCGCCTGAAAAACGGGCAGTAGCGTACCCTATCCTGAACATCCGTTTTGAAAGGGGCCATAGGCAAGCCAGATACGATTGTGGCATTTACTTTACTGCAACCTGAAAAAAAAAGTAGGCTCAATTCCCCCCTCAACACTGTCCAATGTTAAGGGGGGAGTCCCTCCCACAGAGCTATTGTGTTCTGCCAGCGGGGAGCCTTTCCTGATGACAAAAGACAATGATTAATGCTGGCGGCTATAGCTACTGGCAGTAATCGTATGTAAAAAATCTGACAGGTGGTTGTACTGGAGTCGATTGATGGAATGTACAACCATCCAAGATTTGATCCATATGTGGCTCAAGGCTAAAATCCTTATTTCAGCAGGCAAAGTAAAATTCTGTTCACACTGTGAGTAATTCAAAATATTTAAACATTCTCCCCCTTCTTTCCCTTCAAGCATCTCAGATCCCCCTGTCTACCCCCTCTTCCCCCACCGCTGGCTTAGCAGGCTTCTGATCTCTAAAGCTGGCCACACACGCTCCAACTTTCAGACAACTGCAATTTTAAATAATTGGTTGCCTGAAAACAAGCCGTCAACCATCAAATCTTTCAAAGAGCTAGTCAATTTATGTGCTGACATGGAGCTTGTTGATATTAGGAGAGATCAGAGTGATGAGCACATAACTGTGCTGCTTTTCCCTAACTGTGCTGCTTTTCCCTAACTGTCCCGTCACAAGCTGTGGGGCAGGTCCATGACAAGCTAAGCTCAGAGAAAGTGGGTTGAATGATTCTGTCTATCATTCAACCAGGAAGGCTGAGGACATCAAGTGACAGGGAAAAGAAGCAGTGCGGAAAACAGTTCTGGGCTGAAGGTTAGAATTGCAAAAAAGCTGTTTTTTTTTTAATTCTTTATTTAATACATTATGTACTTAAAAAACATTTTCCAGGTGGGAAGTATGGGTTACACATTGACATTACAATTTCTTCATGGTTCACAGAACTGGCGTTGTGATAGGACTTTGTCTTTTGCCTACAAGCAGTTCCTGGGTTACAAACAAGATAGTCCTTTAGGCTTGTTCTTAAGTTGAATGTGTATGTAAGTTGGAACAGGTACATTTTTTAAGTGTAACTCCAGCCAAAAAAAATATTTTACGTTTTGGATAGCATAGGGTTAACTGGCCATGCAGTGATGTGGGTTGCTGACAGGTCCGCTGGACAGTAAGTGGCAGCCTGAATAGAGCAGCAAGATGGTCACTTGGTGGGACCAGCATGACATCACTCTGCCTACACTACAGGCCAGGGGCGGACTGACAACTCATGGGGCCCCGGGCAATAGGGGATCATGGGGCCCCTGTGTGCTTGCCCAAAACTCCAAAAAGCCTATGGAAAAGGTACCAGAGGCATCTCATGGGGCCCCCTACTGACCCGGGCCCTTGGGCAGTGCCCGAGTTTCCAAATGGTCAGTCCGCCCCTGCTACAGGCCACTATAATTGGTGGAATTGTATTTGTTCTCTTCTTTTTAAATAGTGCACAGGTAAAGATCTCTCAGCCTCACCCTGCATAGTTCTGATCCTTATGTTTTGAGTTTTTTGAGAGAATGACTGTCTCTCTTAAATTTAGAACTTACTCTACTACTAGACTAAAAGGTCACGTTTATTATGATATCCAGAGAGCCGCTAGGCCTGCTTGCCAAAGACCTACAAAATTACCCTGATTAAAATGGGAGAAGAAAAGCAGCAGAGAAAGGTTACAGTAATCAAGGAGGGAAATGAATGGAACAAGTGGAAGATAGTCTCCCGTAAATGAGGATTGCAGAGGATGGCCGCGTAGTATCAGAATAAAGGGCAGAGGGAAGAAATTCTGAACATCTTTCTTTTATTGAAGGCTTGGCTAGGCAATTTGTAGACAGGATGGTTAGCGTTTGACTAGAAAATCGGGCATTGTCTGTTTTAAATATAGTGGGAAGAACTGTATTCCGCAAAGAATGTAAACCATCATGAGGACTGGTTTTCAAAGCTTCATATTGACATTGTGAGATGGAGATGTTAATCTGTCATGATCACATAATATTTTGTTTTCCTTCTGCTGCTTGGCTCTGCTTTTTTTCTTTTTCCTTTTTCTTTTTAGGAAGATTCCGTCAGCAACTGAATTCTCATGTTAGGTGTTAGTTATTGTATTTTTGTACATATACTTTCATGAAGTTCTTTTGGGAACTCCCAGGCTTACTTCCTTTCCATCTCTTGTTGAATTGCAGAAAGTCCTTCCCCAGGTAGGCTTTTCTGTGATGGGGTTACATTATACTTTTACAGACCATGAATTAACTTTTAAGTTAGTTAACTCTAGGGCAGGGGTGGGCAAACTTTTTGACTTGAGGGCCGCAATGGGTTCATATATTGGACCCGGGGGCCGGACCAAGAGTAGATGAATGATGTGTATGTGTCATCCATTGTAAGTATAGTAATATTCCCCCATAGTAAGCATAGTAATTAATCCCCCATATAGTAATTCATCCCCCATAGTAATTCATCCCCCATAGTAATTCATCCCCCATATAGTAATTCATCCCCCATATAGTAATTCATCCCCCATATAGTAATTCATCCCCCATAGTAATTCATCCCCCCATATAGTAATTCATCCCCCATAGTAATTCACCCCCCATATAGTAATTCATCCCCCATAGTAATTCATCCCCCCATATAGTAATTCATCCCCCCCTATAGTAATTCATCCCCCCTATAGTAATTCATTCCCCATATTAATTCATCCCCCCATATAGTAATTCATCCCCCATAGTAATTCACCCCCCATATAGTAACTTCATCCCCCATAGTAATTCATCCCCCATATAGTAATTCATCCCCCCTATAGTAATTCATCCCCCCCTATAGTAATTCATTCCCCATATTATTTCATCCCACCCTAAGTAATATTCCCCCCCAAACAATGTAGTTAAGCCAAGTCCACTCAGGGCGCGGAGTCTAAGTCCCTGTCAGGGCTGTTGAGCCGATGGACTAGACGCAGCCGGACAGGGCAGGTCCCCCTAACACCTTCAGGCTGTAACGCACGTGGCTGACAACAAACCAGTACCCACAGAACCGAAGTTCAACCAACAGGGCGCAGTACAGGAGTCTAAAGTCCCAGGCTGCCCTTCACAGAGGGCCCCAGATGGTGGGGATGGACTTGACGCAGCCAGGAACCAGGTCGCGGCCCCCGAGACACCTCAGCTGCGGTAGCCATGGCCGCACATAAAAACAGGCTATATGTCATCAGCCACGCCCCTCTGGGGGGTGGACCTCAGAGACCTGAAGGCATAAAAAGGATTCCCATCATGCACAGCAGAATCCAAGATGGACGCCAGCACATGGAGTAACATAACCTCAGGGAAAAGGTAGGACCTTGACAGTACCTCCTCCTCAAGGGCCCCCCCCCCTCCGCGGGCTCAACAAAAGGTTTCTGAGGAAAGCGGGTATGAAAAGCGCGGAGGAGGGCAGGAGCATGGACATCCGCGGAAGGAACCCAGGGAACGCTCCTCAGGACCATAACCGCGCCAATGAACCAGGAACTGTAATCGAGTCGCCGCGCACCAATCGAGAGTCCAGGATCCGGCTCACCTCATACTCCTCATGACCTCAAACCGGACAGGACGGGCCGAGGCAGAGAGGCAGTGAAGCGATTGCAGATCAGAGGTTTCAACAGGGAAACATGAAAGATATTGGAGATCCGCATCCCAGACGGAAGGGCAAGGGCATAGGCCACCGGATTCACTTTGCGGAGAATGCGGAAAGGACCGACAAAACGGGGAGCTAGTTTGGGTGTGGGCACCCGAAGATTGAGGTTGCGAGTAGACAACCACACCCGATCGCCGACCTGGTAATGAAGGAGGGGCAACCGTCTGCGATCAGCCTGGAACTTTTAGCGCTGAGCTGAGTCCCTCAAGGCCCTCTGGATCTGCCCCATGAAGAACGCAGGGCAGCAAGATGGTTCTCACAGCCGGAATGTCCTGTGGTGAGAACCTCTCAGGTAATACTGCGGGTTGGAAACCCATAGTTGGCCATGAAGGGCGACATCCCGGAAGGAGGAGTTGACCGCCGAGTTCCTGGCAAAACTCTGCCCAAGGCAGGAGATCGGCCCAATCGTCCTGATGGTCTGAAATATAACATCGAAGGAATTGTTCTACAGGCCTGATTGGAACGCTCCCGCAGCCCCATTGGACTGCGGGTGGTAGGCTGAGGAAAAGGAGAGACTAATACCCAACTGGGAGCAGAAGGCGCGCCAGAATCTGGACACGAACTGACTCCCGCGGTCCGAGACAATCACCTTAGGCAACCCATGCAGGCGAAAAATCTCCCTGGAAAAGGACCGTGGCCAGTTCTTGCGCTGTTGGTAATTTCCTGAGTGGAATGCAATGGCACATCTTGGAAAAGCGATCGACGATCATGAGGATGACCGTGTATGACCCCGAGAGACACCGGGAGGTCTACAATAAAGTCCATACCTAGGTGTGACCAAGGACACTCCCCATTGGGAATGGGTTGCAGAAGACCCAAAGGGAGATGCCGTGGAGACTTATTCTGGGCACAGATCGAACATGCCGCTACATAAGAGGCAATGTCGGCACGGAGGTTTGTGGCCACCAGAATAAGCGAGAGACAACTCAACACAGGCTGGTTCTTCCCGGATGCCCCGGCAGTTTTGGCGTTATGGTAGGTACGCAGCAGGCGGGTGCGCAATCCCTCGGGTACAAAACATCTACCCTCCGGCTTCCCGGGGGGGAGCATCAGATTGAGCCGCCAAAATCTGCTCCCCAAGAGGAGAGGTCAGACTGGTGCGATGGCAGCCAGGATCTGATCTGGAGGAATAACTGAGATTGGCTCAGAGTCTTCCCTGGACAATCTCAGAGTATTGCCGTGATAACGCATCAGCCTGACATTCTTGGAACCAGGCAAATATGAAACCACATAGTTGAAGCGTGACAAGAACAGAGCCCATCTGGCCTGGCAGGGTGTCAATCTTTTGGCTCCGAAAGATAAGTCAGGTTCTTATGATCGGTAAGAATGAGGACCGGAACCGCGGAGCCCTCGAGCAGGTGCCTCCATTCCTTGAGAGCCAGAATGATTGCCAACAACTCCCTATCTCCAATTGGTAGTTGCACTCTGCAGAGGAAAGCTTCCTGGAGTAGAAACCCCACAGGGAAGTAGGGGTCCATCGGGCGACCGACGTTGAGACAGGAGAGCGCCTACTCCCGTCTCGGATGCATCAACCTCAAGGACGAAGGGCAATCCAGGATTGGGATGAGACAGTATCGGAGCCGACGCGGAGGCGGATTTCAGAGCCTTGAACGCTACGATGGCCTCGGGGTGGCCACTCGTGAGGATTACTGCCCTTCTTGGTTAGGTCTTGAGAGAGGCTTTGCCAGCGTGGAGAAGTTCCGGATGAACTTCCGATAGTAGTTGGCAAAACCCAAAAGCGCTGAATGGGCCGAAGGACCATTGGGACGAGGCCACTGCAGAACCGCCGAAACCTTCTGAGGGTCCATGGAGAATCCCTCCGCAGAAATGATGTAGCCTAAAAAGGCAACTTGGGATCGATGGAATTCGCACTTCTCAAGTTTACAAAAAAGTTCGTTCTCACGTAATCGTTGCAGCACCTGCTTGACATCCTGGATATGGGACTCCATGGAGGCAGAGTAAACCAGGATGTCATCCAAGTAAACTACCACGCACTGCTGCAACAAGTCACGAAGGACATCATTTATGAATTCCTGAAAAACTGCGGGCGCGTTACACAACCCGAAGGGCATCACCAGGTATTCGTAGTGACCGGTTCTTCTGGTGTTAAACGCGGTCTTCCACTCATCCCCCTGTTTGATCCGTACGAGGTTGTACGCCGCCCTAAGGTCAAGTTTGGTAAAGACTGTTGCCCCCTTAAGGCGATCGAATAAACTCAGTAATCAAGGGAATCGGGTAGGCATTTTAGTGGTGATTCGATTAAGACCCCTATAATCAATGCAAGGCCTCAATTCACCACCCTTCTTCTTTACAAAGAAAAAGCCCGCTCCTGCTGGGGAAGTAGACTTACGAATGTGCCCCCGGGAAAGCGCATCCGCAACGTATTCCTCCATGGCCTTATTCTCCACAACCGAGAGAGGATACACCCTGCCACGCGGAGGAGTGGCACCGGGTTGCAAGGATATGGCGCAGTCGTAAGGACGATGAGCAGGTAAGGCACCAGCGCGTACCTTATCAAACACGTCCTGGTACTCCCCATAATCAGAGGGCAAC